TTGGAAAGATAAGATCTCTTTCATAAAAATTTTGTTCAAGAATGGGCTGGATTTCGAATTCACAATAAGGCAGAATACATGGGTTAGCTGCCTTATGCTGGAGAGTGGCCAAGTTGTCGAGTCAGAAGACCATCCTCTTCCACCATTCAATTGTTTAAACATTTTTACACGAAGCCAATGTTGAAATGACTGCTACGTTTTCTTCTAGGTTGTGTTTAAATTTCATGACTGTGTCAATTACCAGTAGCTCACTTGCACGAAATATGTATTAATTAGTTGCGTTCCAGATGCTTCACGATTTCCAGGTTTTTACAGGAAGTCGTTCGAGGTGACCACCTCCCATAAGGTTTATTAATGGAGAAAACAACTGTTCCTGCAAATCGTGAATTTCGTGAATTTGGATATTGAAGTTAATATTCGAACGTTCGCACAATATTTATTTGGTAATTAAAAAAAATTTACTCCAAAAAAGTTTTTAACTCGTCAAAACTTTTCGGCATTCGCGATATTTACTCAGTACTTGTGAAAAAGTATCGAGTTTTCGATGCTAATCAGTACTCATCAAAAATATCGATATTCTGTACTCGGTACTCTTATCGTTCTATCACTAACTGCGATGAACATGATGGCGGCGGAGATGTAAATAATTTTTTCTGCTCTATACATTTTTTTTTCAAACACAATAATTATTACTAAAAAATTGTTTATTATAACTTAAAATTATTGTCACCAATAGAGGTAAATATCTTATACAAAAACACCTAAAAAGGAGTTAACAAAATTTGATATGAAACTATTCGTCGATTTAAATCAGGGACCGAAAATAATGATTATTTCAATATTTTCAATGAAAAAAATCAAAAGGTTCAAAATATCGTAGAACAATTTCGAGTATACACATGTGCAGGTTTTTTCATGCTCTGAATGAATCTCTTACGATTTCAAAATGTTTGAGCGATATCTATAAAAATTATAACTAAGAATTGCATTTCGATTTTAAATTAATCGCACAAAAAAAAATCATATATCGAGTTATATTTTTTTAATCAAAAATAAAATTCATTTTTCGAGCGTTATTTTTTTGCTCTGAAGAAATAATTATTTTGTGAGTTGTTTTCGTTTTGATCAAAAATAATCATTATATTATTAGTTTTATATTTTTGATCAGAAATAATCATCATTTTTTGAGTTTTATTTCTTTCATCAAAACTAATGATTATTCTTTGAGTTTTATTATTTTGATCTAAAATAAAACTCATTTCTTGAGCGTTATTTTTTCTCTCAGAAATAAAAATTAACTTTTGAGTTTTATTTTTTTTTGCAGATCGAAAAACTCAAAACGCCTCACTTCACTTAAACTTAACTCACCACACCTCAACTCACCTCACATCAACTCATCTCAACTCGCCCTAACTCACCGCACCTCAACCCACCACACCTCAACTCACCTCACCTCAATTCAACTCAACTCACGTCATCTCAGTGCAGTAAAGCAAATCACAAATACATTTTATTTCTGAACTGATCAGCGCGTATTTGCAAGCAGAGCACTGAAGAAAACCCAGTGGGAAAATAGGAATCCATTACCTGTTTCTACCAAGAAAAGATTAACAACTACGGTTGAACGAAAAATGCATCGCAATGTAAGCGAGCGGTATTAAAAGTTGTTAAATAAACAATTGTTATTGGGAATCTTCTGAAGAGGAACAGAGTTTGCCGATCGAAAAGTATTGATTTTCAAGAATTCTATATCATTTCTACGAAAAGTGGTTTTTCCCCATATAAAATACATGGAAAACTTTGAGCGCTTTAAGCGACCTCTAAATATATTTTGATTTCAAAATAAAAAAATAGGGGTATATTTTTTCGGTATAGAACAATCCTAGGGGGTGAGAGCATAAAAATTCCCACTTTACTTTTTCACATGCATTTTTGGACCACCCTATTGTACATATACCTACATTACGCTAGCTCAGAGTGAAAAGTTGCTAAGTCCCCTTTTTGTAAAAACATATATTCTAATGTAAGAAGGAAGAGAAATTAAAAATGCATCGTACCTAAAACATCAAATTATGTATATGTTGTATTTCTAACCGTTTCTATTCACGATGTTGTTATGTCTTTTTGCACGCGCAGCTCAGTAACAGGGATTGGCAAAGGGTGCTGTTTTTGTGACTTTAAGCCTACTCACGTTAAAAACGGAGGATGAACGAACACCACCGCAAAGCTTGCTGTCTTGCAAATACAGCCACCACAAGTGAACGATGCTTATAACAGCTCATACTGATATTAACTTCGGCAAATCTGTACTCCGAATGATCGTGCACGAAACCACGCCGTCTATTGAAACTTCAGATGTAATTTGGCCGGAAACTCTGTCGCAAAGTTCAACTTCGTTGCATGGAATCCTTCTTAATTCAATTGAAGGGTCTCCATCGGATGAAGAGTCCGACGATCATGCTGAAGATAGCGATTTGCAGAAGGCTATTAATCAAGTTGAATGCTATGCACCAAAACAATTGGATTTAGATGTTCCTATAATGGAGTATTGGAAAAAAAAAGCAATAAACACATCCGTATCTGTGGTCGCTGGCAAAAGTGGTTCACAGTACTCCAGCCACACAAATCAGTGTGGAACGGTCTTTTTCGGCGCTAAAACTAGTGTTAAGTGACTTAAGATGCAATTTATCACCCGGAATTTTGGAAAAAATTTTATTTTTAAAAACAAATAAAATGTAATGTAATGGGCCGTGGTTCTGAAGTTAAAGTTCTCTTGAATAATTTTAATCAAAATAATCCTGACAGTTGCATGTTTCGAACTTAACAATTCTCACAATAGGTTAGGTTAGGTTGAAGTGGATGCTAGGCCCAGAGGGCGCCAGCACACTTAGGCCCGATCAGGGCCCATTGTGATACCACATGGATCCAAAAAAAAAAACCCCTACTCCTTAAACCAGTTTGTGGAGTCTGCAAACCTTAGCAACTGCCGTATTCCAAACTTAGCAGTCGCGCTTAGATCGTCTAGAAGACCTATACCTAGGAATTTCTGTCTTTTCCTGCCCAGTGCTGGACAATCGCCTTATTGATTCAGGCTCTTCTTCGTCGTGGCAGCTCCTGCAGTAGTCGTTGTGACTAACCCCGAGGCGTTCTGCGTGCCTTCCTATCAGAATATGTCCTGTGAGCAGACCAATGGCCAGTTACATATCGCCTTTATTGAGAGTGAGAATTTCTCTCGATCTCCGTACATCCCATTTTGGCCATGTTAGCTTCGTTGTATTACAGTTTTCAGTGCGCTCCCATCTGGAGGCCGCTTCTTCAAGGAAGTTCTCCCTTAGTAAGAGCTTGCAGGAAGCGAGTGGCATACCCACCCTCTTCCAGGCTGGTGAAAGTGAAGAGCAAGTACCCGCCCTTGCAAGCTCGTCTGCCTTCTCATTTCCTGGTATGTCACTGTGCCCCGGTACCCATACCAGGTGCAAAGCGAACTGCTCTGCCATCACGTTAAGTGATTTGCGGCAGTTGGCGACTTTTTCCGAATTTATAGTGACAGAGTCAAGCGCCGTAAGGGTCGCCTGACTGTCTGAGTATATATATATTTCCGTAGTGGCGATAACAGCTAGTTTTAGGCTGTCAAAGGCTTCTTGTATGGCTGCCAATTCGGCTTGAAAGACACTACAGTGGTCAGGTAGTCGGAATGATCTTTTTATTCCCAATTTCTCCGAGTAGACGCCTCCTCCTACCCTATTTTCTAGTTTGGAGCCGTCCGTGTAGAATCTTATGGCAAATCTAGACCCCGGAACTCCTTCGAGCCATGATTTCTAGGGATATGGTTAAGAGCTAATACTCCCTTAATTATAGCGTGTAGCCACGCTGAGCTTAGCTGAAGTGTTTGCTGCAGCTGTATGGGGGCAATGCCATCCGGACCTGCTGATTTATAGGGCTTAAATGTCCCAATAGACCAGATGACCTTTTCCCTAGTGAGGAAATCTCCAGTGACCGAAAGATCTCCAGTTAGATGTGGCTGTACCGGCATGCTATCCGTGGCACCCGGGAAGTGTGTGCAAAGAAGCAGATCCAGTGATTCCTCCTCGGTCTCTGTCCAGGAGCCGTCAGGTCTTTGCAAGCATCCTGGGCCTTTTTGGGCAGTACCTGAGAGTATCTTTCTGAGCCTGCCTGCCTCTGAGATAGACTCCACCCCATTGCAGAAGTCTTTCCATGAGGTTCTTTTCGACCTTCTTAGGAGCTTCTTGTACTCCCGTAACGTTGTCTTTTAGGTCTCCCAATGTCCCTCACTACCAGACGCAGTAGCCTGATTGAAGGTTTTCCTGCAGTTCTTGCGTGAAATCCTGATTTCTTCATTCCACCAGGGTGGCTTTTTCCTACCCCGGTGCTGCTTTTTGGGGCATGTAATGTCTATTGCCTTACTGCAGGCCCCCGTAAAATGGTCGACAAGATATTCCAGCTCCTCTAGGTTTGCTGGAGCAGCCGGCTCTCTATCTTGTGGCAAAAGCCTATCCAGCTCTTTCCGATACCTATGCCAGTTGGCATTTCGCAAGTTTCTAGTTAGAGGAGCCTTGGGCCTCGAATTGGATATATCGGTGGTCGGAAAAGGAGTGCTCCTCAAGC